ATATTTATCAAACAGAATCTGGTAAGTTACTCCAAAACTTGCTGACTTAAGCAATAAATAATTATCATCTTACAGAGGCTATGGAAAAGAAGCAGGGCAAATCTTAGTTTGATCTCTGAATCTCAGTTTTCCTCAAGGCTGTATTCAAGGTATTGAGTGGTGCTACAGCCATCTTAAGGCTTGGCTTAAAAAGTAAATGTTGGCAACGTTTAGTTCTTTTTAAAATGTTGCAATGAGGGCCTTAGTTCCTCCTCACTGGTTGTTAACTAGAGGCTACTGTCTATTTCTCGCCACATAGACCTATCCATCGGGCTGTTCACAACATGGCAGTTTTGTTCGTCAGAATGAAAAAGTGAGAGGGCACAGAGAATGATATGAATATGGAAGTCACAGTCTTTTGTAATCTAATCTCAGATATGACACCCTATCACATCGCTATAGTCTATTCATTAAAAACAAGTCACGGTGGGCTGGGGATATAGCTCAGTTGGTAGAGTGCTTTCCTTGCATGTGTAAGGCACTGAGTTCGATCCTCAGCACCACATTAAAAAATACGTAAATAATATAATGTATTGTGTCCATCTACAACTAAAAACAACAACAACAACAAAAAATAAGTCACTAATTCTAGCCCACGCATAAGGGGAAGAAATTACACAAGATGTAAAAACAGGAGGGGTCATTGGGAACCATCTTAGAAGCAGCTTACCACAGAAACTACAGAAAGAAGGAAAAACAAAAAGTAAAAATGCTAACTCAGCTGAGAGTCATTACAAAGGAATATCTTTTGTATGAGGAAATAGTGCTACTGATAGTGATCACCTTCTGCATATGTGGTCAGGAATGGAAAGGCTGCTAAGTGAACTAAGAATACTTTCCACAAAAACAAGGATGATTGTGTGACTTGTAGCTTTTATTGACTATTTGTAGTTTGTTGCTATTTTTGATTTATATATATATATATATATATATATATATATATATATATATATATATTAACCCTGTGGTGATATGCCACTGAGCTACATCCTCAGCCAGCCTTTAAAAATTTTTTTTTTAAATATTTTGAGATAGGGTCTCACAAGTTGCACAGGCTGGCCTTGAATTTGGGAGCCTCTTGCCTTTGCTTCCTGAGTAGCTGGGATTATAGGTATGTGGCACCTTGCCCAGCTACAAATAGGAATTTTAGTGAAGCAAAAACCAAATATGAATCAGCAATGTGATACTGTGATTTTTAATTCAAAAGTAATTCTGAGATACACTAATCGATTAGTAAGAATTTACTGAGCACCTCCTAAGTGCTAGGAACATCAATATTAGAGAAGTATAGAACATACTATGCACTCTCAATTAATCTGTAGCAGGCTTTGTAAATCCATGAAATAGAAATCAACTCCTTATTGTATCAGATACTGGGCTCTAAAGTCAAGAGATAAAGGAAATAAAATAATTCAGAGGAGTGATTAACCAAAGGATTAAAAATTGGAAAACCGAGGTTGACCTAGCATGTGTGAGGCCTGGGTTCCAGCCCCAGTATCAGGAAAAAAAAAAATTGAAAAACAGAATTTATGTGGAAAGGCTGAAGGAATAAAGCTTACTAACCTGAGGAAGGCAAATGTTGTTCTAATAATCCTCTCCAAATTTATGAGTACTCTATAGGTGATGGGGGTGTTTGTGCCCTCAAATGAGAGAATGCAGAGAACTAGATTTCTCTCTCTTTTTCTGTATAAAGTTTTCTGGCACATTAATTCTTTTTTTGTTGGGGGGGGCGGAGTACCAGGGATTGAACTCAAGGGCACTTGACCACTAAGCCATCTACAGCCCTATTTTGTATTTTATTTAGAGAAAGAGTCTCAGTGTTGCTTAGTGGCTCACTTTTGCTGAGGCTGGCTTTGAACTCTTGATCCTCCTGCGTCAGCCTCCTGCCTAATCCTCCCTTCTGGGATTATAAGAGTGTATCTTATAATTGTATTAAGAATTAATATGCCACCATTGTATCTGGTGGCATATTAATTCTTAATTAGTATCAGTGAAAATTCTTATAGGATATTTTCTCTGACATCATTAAGACATCATATATATAGTGGAAAAAATGTCTAATTATTCACCCTATTCTTTTTAATTTTTTTGTAGTTGTAGATAGACAGCATGCCTTTATTTTATTTGTCTATTTATTTAAATTTTTTTTAGTTGTCAATAGACCTTTATTTTTGTTTATTTATTTATATATGGTGTTGAGGATTGAACCCAGTGCTTCCCACATGAAAAGCAAGTGCTCTGCCACTGAGCTACAGCCCCAGCCCTATCTACTCTATTCTTAACAGAGATTTCTTCAAGACCTGAAAAGAATCTGAGCTTTTACCCTACATGCAGGCTAGTAAGTTAGGGTGCCCAGTTTCATGCATGCCAGAGAAAATACGAGACTCAGGCTTAATACAAAGGATAATTTATTACTAAAGACAATAGTAGGAGCCAGAATAACTCTACTTTTGCTGATTCCATGAGCTTCATTACTCATAGGGTGACACACAGCGTGGGCTAGGTAATACACTGGCCCTGGGGGTCACACAAAGCAGGCTAGTTAGATACTGTACAGGCAATAGGTTTGTATCACAGGAACCCCAAACAAAGGAAGCCTCGATATTTTATGTTGGACTATAAGCAAAACAGCACAACCTTTGCCCTAGAGGGAGACATTATCTTTATTATACAGGACAGTTAACAAATCTGACCTCTGCTCTAGAGGGAGACATTATCTTTAAATTCCAAGGCTCTTCACTGTACAAACATTCTTGAAGAGTCCAGAACAAAATGCATCAGTGCTTCTGTTCCTAAGAAGTGCAGAAATGCAAGAGATGAAAGAGAATTGTCTCCCAACAGATTTTTTTTTCTAGGAAAGTTCACTTTTATATTTATTCATTTATTCATTTTTTTCAACAAAAATATTTGACTACCTATGTAAGTCAAGTACATAAAGTATACTTTTTCTAAGTGTGTTTATATAACTTCTTTTTAAAAAGACCAAAATGGCTTGGTGTTGCACACCTGTAATCTCAGCACCTCAGGAGGCTGAGACAGGAGGATCTCAAGTTCAAAGGCGGTCCCAGCAAAAGCAAGGTGCTAAACAACTCAGTGAGACACTGTCTCCAAATAAAATACAAAATAGGGCTGGGGATGTGGCTCAGAAGTTGAGTGCCTCTGAGTTCAATCCCCCATACCAAAAAAAAAAAAAAGACCAAAATGTTAATGTTACTTATTTCTAGATGACAAGATTGAGTTACTCTTTTTCTTTTTTTTTGAGTATAACTTCTTGTATTTTTTTTTTTTTAGTTTTAGTTGGACACAATACCTTTATTTTATTTTTATGTGGTGCTGAGGATCGAACCCAGGGCCCTGGACATGCTAGGCGAGCGCTCTACTGCTGAGTCACAACCACAGCCCCGAGTTATTCTTTTTTTAAAATATTTATTTATTTATGTATCTTTTAGTTTTAGGTGGATACATTAGTTTGTTTTTATGTGGTGCTGAGGATCTCGAATCCAGAGCCTCATGCATGCTAGGTGAGCACTCTACCACTGAGCCACCACCCCAGCCCCCCGAGTTATTCTTTTTTTTTTTGAGAGAGAGAAAGAGAGAGAGAGAGAGAGAGAGAGAGAGAGAGAGAGAGAGAGAGAGAGAGAGAATTTTAATATTTATTTTTTAGTTTTCGGTGGACACAACATCTTTGTTTGTATGCGGTGCTGAGGATCGAACCCGGGCCGCACGCATGCCAGGCGAGCGCGCTACCGCTTGAGCCACATCCCCAGCCCCCCGAGTTATTCTTAATTGTAATTCATCACCTTTCTATATTTTCATATTTGCAATTATCATGCATGACATTTTATTATTATACATTTTTAAATAGACATAAGTACACATTACAAATCTAGGAATTATTGTCTTTTCTAAAGATCAGGGAATAGAATAGATTGCCTCTTCAAGAAGTCTAGCTCACGACCACATGTTTTGGTACATGAGGGCTTAATCCTGTTAGTTTAGGTTATTTTATTAATTTTCTCTAAGACAGATTTTAATATATTTTTAAACATTCTTTTTAAAAAATTTGTATATGATTCTGAGGATCAAACCCAGTGTCTCACATGAGCTAGGCAAGCGTTCTACCACTGAGCCATAACCCCAGTCCCAAGATTTAATAATGAAAAACATAGTTCTGTTTATATCCAATATTTTTATTTATTTATTTATTTATTTTGCCATGCTGGGGATTGAACTCAGGGCCTTGAGTATGTTAGGCAAGTGCTCTATCGTTGAAATGCACCCCTGGCCCTATTGCTAATATTTTAAATATTACCTTACTCTTTACACTTATAAGCATTTATCAGAATAAAAAGTTGTCCTAATAGGCAATTTGTAAGTCAGATAATTAATCTTGCAGTTGATATTTCAAATATGCAATCATGTAAGAATATCAGAAATAAATGTCATTCATCACATTATTCCTTGATACAAAGCAACGTGACAGTATTTTTGGAAGTGAAGAAATTGGACACTAAAAGATATATATATATTTTTTATATTGAGTCAACACAGGAAGTAAGTCAAGAGATGTACCTGAAGAGGACTCTCATGGAATCTGATGCCTGAACTGTGGGCAGCATCAAAAGAGAATGATTCTGTAGCTTTGTTCAGCCAAAAGACTTGTTCCCACTCAATAAAGTTTATGGTACAAACTAGGAAGAGCAGGAATGTTCTCAACTGCAATAGAAGCTGGTAGAAATATAAACTCATACTGGTTGTGATAGTGCATGCCTGTAATCCCAGAGCTGGGGAGGCTAAGGCAGGAGGATTGCAAGTTTGAGGTCAGCCTCAGCAACTTAGTGAGACCCTAAGCAACTTAGCAAGACCCTGTCTTGAAAAATAAAAAATAAAAAGGGTTGGAGGATAGCTCAATGGTAGAGCACTCCTGAGTTCTATCCATAGTACCACAAAACAGGTCTGGCCTTGCTTCTTGGCTTCTTGGCTAAGATCAAGTAGAGTGTTCATATCGGTTTAATATCTGATTTATCCTCTGAGGACAATATATTAAATGGATATTTGCAGCAGGGAGATGGAATAGGAGTTTGCTCTGTCTACTCTGTGCTTCATCCTGGTATCACAGTACCTTCAGGAATGGTGCACACCCAAACACAGAAAAGCATTCTATCATTTGAGATTACTGGTTTTAAGAGCATAGTAACTTTTAGAAGTTATTGTAACTACAGATATTTCAGACAGTAACTTGGAATATGCAAGATTTCAGATAAACTGTTAATTAAAACACTTGTCTATTAACCCAGTTACTCAGGAGACTGAGACAACAGTATTACATGTTCAAAGCCAGCCTCAGTAACTTAGCAAGATTCTGTCTCAAAATAATAAAAATTAAAAAGACTGGGGCTGTCGGCTCAGTGGTAGAGTGCCCCAGAGTTATCCTCAAAACAAAACAAAACAAACAAACAGAAAAAGCAACACTTATATTTGATTATTCTGAGTCTACCACATTGAGCTGAACCAGCTGTTCTTAAGAGCCCCTTATATGGTAAATCAGATAAACTTAAATCATTGGGATTTTTGTACACATTTAAAAATATATATTTTTTTAGTTGTAGGTGGACACAATACCTTTATTTATTAATTAATTTATTTTTTTTATGTGGTGCTGAGAATCAAACCCAGTGCCTCACATGTGCTAGGCAAGCATTTTACCACTGAGCTACACTTACAGCCCCATGTTATTTTTAATTTTTAAAGTAAATGTTTAATATTTTAAAACATTTTGGAAAGACTATTGTGCTGCATTAGGAAACCACATCCTCCCTGCTTAGTAGCCATCCCATCCAGTCTCAAAAAGGAGCACAAGATGTTTTGTTCTAAGGTGATTGGTGGAAGATATCCATATCCCCACCCTTTGGCACCCTTACATAGTAACATTTCTGCTGTGCCTTCCCAGCTCATTCCATCCATTTGATAAGAGTGTTGGCAAGAAGCACTTAGGTGATCAAGGTCTACAAAGCCTACAGGAACGGTTGTTGTAGTACAGTCCTTTTCAGTTGTACCTCCTTTATGAAAACTGTGTTTAAAATTTTCCACACCTTTGTTGGCCCAAAGGATTATTCTTCTGTTCGGAAAATGTAAAATAACTAATCTGAGGCGATGTGATTTTCTTTTTTAATACTTCTAGGGGAAGATACATGCCTTGTTTCACTTTGAAAGTTTTCCTTTTAAGATGATCTCTTCTGAGTTGCAGTCTCTGTTCTGTCATTCTACAACTTGTTCTGGAAAAAGATACCACTTATTTTTTACTTCATTAGATTAAGAACTGCTCAAATGAAAATTAAGTTTTATGCTCATGTCTCCCATACTTATTAAGCAAATTTCTCAAATTTTGAGTAAGAGCAAAATTTCAGTAAAAGGGTAGGTTTTCAAAAATGCTGCTAGTCCTAAAATATGTGGATGACTTGAAACTGTAAAGTTAAGAAATAGTGACTGGGGCTGGGGCTGTGGTTCAGTGGTGCAGCACTTGCCTAGCACAAGGGAAGCCCTGGGTTTGATCCTCAGCACAACATAAAAATAAATAAATAAAATAAAGGTTAAATTCATTTTTTAAAAAAAGAAATGTGACTAAAATATTTGTTTGCATGTGTTTTCTGCAAGTGTTTGAGGTATTAATTAAGTTGTTTAATTATTAGCTAGTGCTACAATCTTGGTGAAGTATCATGATTGCTTTCCTCATTTCTCAAAATTTAAAAATTTTTTTTTCCTTTTTTTCATATTGGGGATTGAACCCGGGGTGATCTATCAGTAATACTGTTGAGCCACATCCCCAACTGTTTTTTTTTTTTTTTTTTTTTTTGGTACTGGGAATTGAACTCAGAGGCACTCAACCTCTGAGCCACATCATCAGCCCTATTTTGTATTTTATTTAGAGACAGGGTATCACTGAGTTGCTTAGCATCATGCCATTGGTAAAGCTGGCTTTGAACTCATGATCCTCCTGTCTTAGCCTCCGGAACCATTGGGATTATAGGCATAAACCACTGAGCCCGGCTTTCTTCTTATTTTGAGTCAGGGTCTCACCAAGTTGCTAAGGCTGGCCCAGAATTTGTGACACTTGTGCCTCAGCCTCTCACAGTTGCTGGGATAACAGGCAAGTACTACTATGCCCTGCTTTTATTGTTTATTTTAAACTTTTTATCTTTCCTAATTTTTAAGCTTCCTCCGTCTTGTGAAATGGTTCAAAAAGTTGAAGTGCAAAATATGTTCTTATGCAATATTTGAAGTATGTAGTTGATTGGGAAAATATTAGGAAATTAAAGATGTATGGTGTTGCTTCTACTACCACTCAAGATAGTTTAACAGGGACCTGATTAACCTCTCACCTATAAGCCAATTGTCTTCAGATATCCTGCAGTGTATAACAGTGATTTCTCAGAAGAGGAAACATGTTTTCTAAGATTATCTCTGGCTGAAGATTTTCCAGGCTGAAGCACAGGTAGGAAGAGCCCAAACAGAGCTCAGTCACCTCTTTGAGTTGAGGACTAGTTGGAAGATTTGGGAGGTGAAGGCATCAGAATTTTCAGAGTAAAAGCCAGAGGAAAGGGTTATACAAGAGTCTGAAGGGTTCTTGAGTCTTCAGCTGAGTACTGATCAGTACATGCATATGACACAAACTACCAAGGCTAGCAATAATCACTGGAAAATCAGTCAATTTCTCATTTTTTACTTTAGAAGGAAAACCTTGTAATTGTCTCAATAAATGTAATAATTTGTCAAAATTCAGTATCCACTCTTAGCTTTTAGTTTTAGTTTCAGTTTACTAAAACTCAGCAAATTAGTGAATAGAATAGGAAATTCACATGCTGAAGGAAAACATTTGCAAAATATATCTAATAAAGGACTTGCATACAGAATATATAAAAGAACCCTTACAACCAATAACAAGAAAATCTGTTTTAAAAATGGGCAAAATATTTTAACAGACACTTCTCCAAAGAAGATAAATGGTGAATAAGGCAGGGCATGTAGCTCACTGGTAGAGTGCTCATGTAGCATGTACAAAGTCCTAAAATCAATCCCTAGTACTGCCAAAAAGAAAAAAAAAAAAGCTTTAAGATAGGTGGTAAATAAGCATATGAAAAGATATTCAATCTTATTTATTAGAAAAACGCAAATTAAAACCAAAACACAGGCTGCAGTTGTAGCTCAGTGGTAAAGCACTTGCCTAGCATGTGCGAGGCACTGGGTTTGATCCTAAATGTGTCCATCTACAACTAAAAACAACAACACAACAACAACATCAAAAAACATACATCTGCATAACTATTGGAATGGTTAAAATGAAAAGATTGACCATATTAAGGATTAGGGTGGTCATGGAGAAATTGAAATTCTCATATACTATTGTTTGGAATCTAAAATGACACATATACTTTGGAAAGCAGTTTCATAGTTATTTTAAAACCTTTTTTCTTCCAATGTTGGGGATTGAACCCTCTGGTGCTTTACTACTGAGCTACACCCCAGTCCTTTTTATTTTTGAGACAGGGCTTTGCTAAGTTGCCAGGGGTGGTCTTGAACTTGTGATCCTCCCAAATTGCTTGGATTACAAGTGTATACCATGTGCCTGGCTAGTTATTTGAAAATTTAAACATATACTTCTCATATGACTCAGCCATTCAAGTCCTAGATTTTTACTTAAGATAAATGGAAACATATGACCACACAAAAACTTACACACAAATGTTCATAGCCAATTTATTTTTAATTAATCAAACTGAAAACAGCTCAAAAGTCTATCAACTGAGAAATGCATAATCAAATGGTATTATATTGATGCTAGGGAATACTGTTATCAATGAAAAGCAACGAACTATTGATATAGAGGGATACTAAAATAATTATACTAAAAATAAATAGAAAAAAATGGAAAAAATGAAGACAACAAAGGAAGAAAAAATCATTATGCTGAAAGAGAAAAGCTAAAGAAATTGCATGTGGTATGATTCCATTTGTATATGTACAAAAACCCCAATCTAAACAGAAATCAAAGCAGTGTTCACCTGGGGCAGGTGTTGAGGAGGAGTACAGATGACAAAGAGTCAAGAGGAAACTTGGATGGAAATTCTCCTGATCTTGATTGTGGTAGTAGTTTCATTCATATGATATATATATATCACAGTGTACTTGTAGTGCAGCTATTGCAGGTTACTGTTGTTGATTATACTTTAATTAAACTTTATGCATGATACCAATAAGTTATTATTAGATGTAGTTCTTAGAATTATAATTCTATAAAACTCTTTAAATTGCTTTTTTAGAAATTGTTTTACCTGAAAAAACTGTAGTTCTTTTGCAGTGATCATAGATGTATTTTATCAGTGCCATCTGTTTCCCAGCTAAGAGTCATTCTGACTCTGAGTATATAGATATCTACTAGTCTCTGGATTCAGTTTTGCTCAATTTCCCAGCAAATCTTATTAAATGTAGAGAAAACAAGTAGTATACCCTATTGTTTTTTTAGAACTGCTGCCTCATTGACTTCTATTATACCTTTTTTTGTCAGCCTCAGAACTTGTTTCACTTCTACAACCATAACGTAAAGGTTATCTCCAGTGCTGAAAATGCACAAAGGCTATAAAATGCTAGTCATCCATCCAGGGGCATCAGTGGACTTATTGTATGAGAGCATGAAGAAAAGATTGCTGGTTTACAGTGTTGTTAGTTAGAATTGTATGTCTACATATGTATAAAATAGTGGGTGATAGTTCTAAAATTATCTTATTTCCCCTAAACTACTGAAATTAAAATTAAACTAAGGTTAGGTAATCTTCTTCTTTATGATTTAATAATATAATACTGTTTTCCTGTGCTAAACAATTACCTAATTATTACAAGGAAAAAGTCACAAGTATTGTTCAAACCAAAGTTCTCTTTTCCTACATTTTCTTTTTTTAACCTGTTTTATTGAGACAGTATCCACTACGGTGCAATTCAAACATATGAAATGTACAATTCAATGGTTTTTAGTATAATTAGAAGGTGCAGCTATCAACACAATTTGGAGTATTCTTTTATTTATTTATTTTTTAGTTGTAGTTGGACACAATACCTTTATTTTATTTATTTTCATGTAATGCTGAGGTTC